GGGAGGGGAGGGGGCTGGTGTTACACACAAACAATAACAAATGTAGAACATACTTCTAATGCTACTTTTCTATAAAATGTCTTTTTTTTTTTCAAAACTTGTAGTGGTATTTTTCCTACTAAAATAACAGATGGCCTTAAAGTTGAACTTTTAACCAAATCAAGTTTACTCATCTGGGAACTGATACAAATTCCCAAGTGCATCTACCTATTACATGATCTTAATTCTCAGCCATCAGTGTGGAAAGGGTCTACCCTTGCTAATTAACCCAGCGAAGTTAGCTTTCATATGCTACCAGCTTACTCACCACAATCCTCTCTGGCATGCAAGCTTTTTTATTGTCTTTTAGCAGTGGTTTAAGCCCCTAAAATCTGTTTTCCTGGTTGTTTGTCCTATTACAGATTAGAATTGATGACTGTGTCAAAGCGTTGAAGGAATATGTGGAGAGTGGAAAGACTTTTGATTATGTTATTAATGACCTCACAGATATACCCGTAGCTGTCTCCTTGCATCGTAAGCTTTGCTTATACTCTTATACTCTATTTTCGATACATTACTTGAAAGTCTATTTCTAGTGCTCTGACCAAGATAAAAGTTTATGAGGTACTATTTTTGTGCTACCAGATACGGGTGAAGTGGGTAACTGTAGCCTGAAGTAAGATGTTTGGTCGAAAACTGTTTAATTCTTACCAAGTAACTGGTTTTTTCAACTTTAAGGCCATTGTCAGTGCAAACTGTCAATTTCGCGCTGCATAAATTAGACTAGTTAGATCGTGCAAATTATATTGTATATAAGCAATGGTAAAGTTTATTCTCATTAAATCCCCTGATGAGTGGGCGACCACGAAACAGGCTTGTAGGGATGAACTTGTAGTTTACTTGTCTTTTTCCTCCCACAATATATATATATATATGTATGTATGCAATTTTTTAGGAATATAATCTATTTGAAAGAGCCTCGTTTGATAGATACAGTGTCAACGTTTCATTCAGAAGTTACAAAGAATACCCTTCAAAATGAAAGGGTTTTAACTGGAAATTTTTTCTGTACAGTTAAAAATTTCACTTACCCCAGCAGAAGTTAAGCAATTATCTTTCTGTACAGAGCTTTGTCCTCTGCGTATTTCCAGGAATTTCTTGTTTTATTCGCAGCGTTCGCAGGTAATTTGTTTTTCCTTAGGAGTTGTGCGAGCGGTCGCAAGCACGGGAAGCACGCTCAAGGACGAAAGCACGACCAAAAGCGCGGAAAAAAATTGCGTTTGCGCTGTGTGTTTCGCGTGGTTTTACTTAGGGGGTTTCACATAGCGGTTTCACGTCTTATGAGGCCTCTTATAGAAGGCCTTACTGTTTTACTTATAGCATATGAGTATTTATGAGTTATAAACTGTAGTGGAAAAAACTTTGGCCTCTAAAGAAAAGGATTGTTTTTCTGTCGCAATTTTCTTAATTATTAATTTGGTTATTTACTTTGTAGATTCTCACTGGGATTTTGTGCGGGAAATTTTGAATCTTACACTGCGCGTGCTCAAACCCGAGGGAAAATTCTTCGCTCAGGTAAAGATACCTTAAACATTGTAATCTTGATTGTCTGATCGTTTGATCGTAAATTGAATCATCTTTTGTTAACAAATGGTAAACACCACAGCGTACACTATTGAGTTATGGATGCACGCGGGAGGTTGCTAAGCACGAAAGAAGCGTAAGAGTCGCTCGAGGCGACAGCCGAGAGCGACTTTAGCTTCTTGAGTGCTTAGCAAACCTCCCAAGTGCATCCATTTAACAAATGGTAAACACCACAGCGTACACTATTGAGTTATGGATGCACGCGGGAGGTTGCTAAGCACGAAAGAAGCGTAAGAGTCGCTCGAGGCGACAGCCGAGAGCGACTTTAGCTTCTTGAGCAAATCTTACGTGACCAGAAAAAACAAGCGCGCGCGGAAAAAGAGTCTTTGCATTTGCTCACGTCAGCAGCGTACACCCATGGGTAAATGGGGAACGCTAAATTGACCAATCAGAGCGCGCGCTTTACTTTGGTTATGTTATAATTTATTTTAGGGTACAAATGGCGCAACATGCAAGAAGCAAATAGAGAAGTATGAACAGCAGTTAATGAACCTCCGTTATCCGGTGGAGTTTCGGAGAGAATTTGCGTTCGTTCCTTCATTTGAAGAAAAGTATCCTTTGTTATGGTCCCAATAACAAGAAGATTTCCACACTTTCAACATCTGTTGCTTCGTATCTACTCTCACCCTGGGGATTTGTGATCAGAGTTTGATCAGATTTAAGAGAATCTGGCTGCGTTTATCAAGGGCTGAACTATTGAAGATACATCCTTCAAATTTACAATTCTAGGAAAGAGTCACATTGATTAGGTGTGACCAGTTTAGATAAACACAGGGATTCTCGCTTCCAATCCTTTAACAGGTGGTTACATGTAGGCGCGGCTAGTAAATCCGTTTCTAGTCTCTTCGAGTACCCCTCGGAAAATTCTCCGGTTGGCTTTCTGTGATCTATTTGACAAGCCAAAGCTTGATTATGATCCGATCAATTAAAAATTCTCCAGATTTTAAAATAGCACCACACGTCCTTTCTTGCTTGTTTCTCACAACCTTTTGTGATGGTTCGTTTGTGTGTTTCCACTTGGTTTTCCGACCTCTCAAGGATTCCCTTTTTAAAAGGGAAGAACTGTTTATACATCTTATGAGGTACACTATTTTATGAGATTTGAGGTTTGGTCAAGTTTGATCTCTCTTCTAAATTAGAGACCTCTCCCTTTTTCATTTATCCTTGACCTTTCGCCAGCTGGACTTTCTACGAAGTGTGGAGGAAGCAGACATGATGAATGAATTGTAATCTCTAAGTCACCCACGTGTATACTACGAGCGGTCCTTCCTTTTCTGTAAAGTAGTTCGTCCGAAAAAAAAAGCGAAAAAAGTTGTGGCTAGCGTGCTGTGCGGAACTCGGGGAGTAAGGCGCGGGAAAAAATTCTGCGCGGCGCGCTAGCCCACAACTGTTTTTTTTTCGCTGATTTTATGGACTCGCAGGGACTGCTCGTAATCTAGCCCACATGTGCTTACGAAGACAAACCAACCATAAATAAGTTAACAAATCTTCCTTTTTCATACGCCTCAGGAATCGTTGTCTTGTATGAGTTTTGATTGTATTTTTTACTTTTTTGCACAAGTCGTTCAGTCAACAATGTAATGCGATGATATTCATGGATGTGAAATTTATTGATGTGAAAGGTGTTCATACTGATTAAAGACTTAATTCTTTTGTGCCAAACTTACTTTGTCAGCCTACTTTTTGGAGGATTTCTTTTCTTGGAACTTTCAATGTTTCATTATGCACCTTTTACTTGAGCAATTCTGACATGAGCGTCAAAAGCAAGCCAGGGTTCTTATAGTTTCGTTTTGCCTCGCACTTTGATTGGTCCTTTGAAATTGCATCACCCTTTTAACCAATCAGACGCAAAACTAAAACAATTGCGGCTTGTTCCCTCGCGTTTTCCAGCCTTAGGCAATTGGTTTGTATGTATTGTAAGTTCTCATTGGTTCCCTTTAGTATTTCCTATCGGCTTGGTATGCACTCAATCGCCAGTTGGCCGTTCCCGCGCATGCTTGCCCTGTTCGTCCGTCTTTTTCTTTGTAGAGATGGCTAAGGTATATTTACTTTGTGTTCCCATTGGCTGTTTACGCATTACTTGAATGTTCTTGATCTGAAATATGAGCTTATGTGGCCTCCCGTTTCAAAATCCCCGGCACAAAATTCTTTGCTGTTTTCCCAAAGTAAGCTCCCAAATTTCTTTTTATTCACTAATGGATACTCATATTTAGTTCCTATATGGTCTTTGACCCCGAACCGATTGAAAGTAAGAACTTTAAAGAAAATGCTTATAGTAAAGATATAGTGGAACAATGCATTAACGTCGTGAGAATAAAAGAAATGATCCCCAAGTAAAGGAGCTCTTGATTGATAAAGAAATTCTCCATGTCAACACCATAGGAAATATTAAGAAAGCAGTTAGGAGAATATGCACACCGATGGTATGGTGTAAAGGGTCTAAGAAACCGTGGATGGGGGTAAATCCAATGAGGTTTGTTTTTGGAATGTGACTGACACCAGTTTTGGCGTCCTCCCTGTTTTAGCTCAGTCTAGGTTAAAAGTAATTTTAAAATATGAACAGGAAGGAGATATAAATATCAGCCTTGAAATTTTATTATTAACTGAACATGACTGTAATCTAGAGAACAAAGAAGTTGACTGTAAATATTCAGTTACTATTTATGATTTCTGTGTGGATGTGCTTCAAGAGGTCAGGTGCTTCAGCAGCGAAGATCGTTCTCGAAACTTGAACAAATATAACAGTTTGTATTTCAATTCATAGGACTTTGCTAAATATAGGAAGCTATATGGGAAATTTTCATCTAGTGCCACGATATCCTGTTTGGAAACTTGTATGATCTTTCTGTTGCAATATATTATCTGTCCCTTTCTCGACCTTGACTCTCCGTAGAAATTACTGGACCTTAAGCAACCACGACGGCGACGGCAACGAGGACGTGGAAAACAAGAGATCTAATTGGCAGAACAATAGCCCAGCACGTGCATTTTGAAACTTTGTACATTTCTTAGCCGTCCTATTCAAAACAACAACGTGAAATCGCCAAAATTTGCGTCGTCTGCGAACCGAAACCGCGACGGCAAATTATTTTAATTTCCATTTGGAACTCAACGCTGCTTTTATACGTCATGCTGAAGTTGAGCTGTGGTGTCGTATGAGACAGTAAGCTCATGCGGCCATTTTTAAAATTCTAACTAAGAGTAGAAATTCATTTTTTAATCGAAGTCTTCCTTGGCGTTGCCGTCCTGACTGCTTAAGGTCCCTAATCGCTGCATGGTTTGATTTTGCTGTATGCTAGGTGTGATTTAACTTCAAAAGCTTTAATTCCTTTTGAAAAGTAACTGCCAGTCGGCCGGTTCACAGTTGGCATTCATTGTTTCATAAACAATAATCACTAATGATGTAGATTTACGAGGTCAGCAGTCTGAGGTCTAGTTTAAAGATGGGCACATTGCGTGCAATAGACAGGTATTGTCAACTTAAAGAGGCAAATACAGCGGATACGAACTACGGTTGGAGTGGTACTAAATCCATGACAAGCACAATTAAGGCTTGCGATGAGAACGATAACGATAGAGTTAAATTCGGTTTAATGACCACAATATGACGCTAGTATTAATAACATAACTTCATCTTTGATACCTCTTCTATATTTCACTTATATTGATAGCCAGAAATTTATTTCGGCACCCACTCGTCACGTGATTATAATGTGCATGGTGAAACACGCCCATCCAACTCTGCGGCCTACGATGCCCTCGAAAGTAAATAGTGGTCTTGGCAAACATGCACAACCCGTGATTTTCACGTTGTGAAGTTGATTGAAAAATGTTTGTGCAATTCTTCCTTTAGATCAATTGTCACTGAAAGTTCGTGCTGTCCGCCTTACGGCTTAATATCTGTAAGTGGTTGTTTTGCATCTCGCAATAAGCTGAGACAATATCCTATCCGCGGCTCAAAGATATACTTTTTTTTGGATCGTTGAGTGATGTTGTATTTATCGCAAATTGCAAAGATTTTTGTACCAATGTTTGTGTCTCTTGAACCGCTAATGGACTAAATTTAGACAGTGTTTTCCTGATGCATGTGATCCGCCCCGTTTATCCAAGTATATTTAGAATCTAAAACAATATTCTATATTTACCATCATTTCTTTTATTACCGCGACATGACCTTCGAAATCACTGAAAATAAATTTTCGCTGATACAAGTTGCCATACTAGCCATGTTGTTCAATGCATATTAATTCGTTTTTGATTCCAGTGGACTTCTGTGATATGATCAGCTCATGGAAACACACATGCAGCTAAAACTTTGTTACAGCGAAACTTGAGTTCGTGGGTAGCGCAGAAGTGCAGACAGTGAGGAACTCAACAGACGCTTCCATGAACGAACAGCAAACAATGCAACCACCGAAAGAGCAGTGCTACTATTTTAGATGCGCTTTGACGTCAACACATCCACTGTAAAGCTCTCTTTTTAGTATTTTCAACTTAACTGTTCAGATAAAAAAAAAAAAAAAAAAAATATATATATATATATATGTATAACTACAGACAGTACTTTTTTTTTCTTTTCTTGAAAATCAACTTTATTTATACAATGATTAGTGTTATATACAGAACAAAACTCAATTAAAACACAATTAAGTGAATTAACGGTAAAGGGCCCGCTGTGCAGTACACCAGTGAAGGAGACCCAACACAGGGGAAATTAGCTAGGTTATTGACAGTTCCTGGGTGTTATTACTATTTACAAGTTGTTTTACGGGAAGGCTAGCTCCTCTGTGCAGTACCCCAGTAAAGGGGCCCCAGCACCGGGAGAAATCTGTTTTCTATTTACACCGCGAGAAAGGTGCTCTCTGTGCAGTACACCAGTTAAGGAGACCCAGCACAGGGTGTTATGTAGTGGAAAAAGTATTTACAAGGGGCGATTTATACTTTGAGTTTGAGTTGACGGTTCTCAAAGGAGCAGAGAACGTCCCGATGAGCCCAGAGAGTGGTAGAAGTCGCGAAAGGTGGAAAGCGGAATTAATGCGGAGGCGTATGCGGGTAGTGATTTTAGAGATTGCAGATTTAGCTGAGGGCCTCCGGGATTCTGGGCCTCACCAGTGTAGTGCTGATGTTAGGATGGGGGAGAACCGATATGGTCACCCCAAACGATCCCACATTTGTGGTATCGTCTAAGCCATGCCAGAGTGCTCAAACTAGAAAAGCCTACTGAGGTATGCGCAATGCTAGCGGCAATGACTCATTCCACAGTGCTCAATTTGGACATGAAAGCAGGGCTTTACGTGCCAAAGAGCTATATATAAATATATATATATATGTAGAATAAATGTTTGAAAAGAAAATTTGCCCTGAGCGGGATTTGAACCCATGTCCCCCTGTTACTAGTCAGGTGTGATGACCACTACACTATCAGGACAACCATGCTGGCAACACGGCAATCGAAGATGTGATTTACGTGAACGGAGACGTGGTCTCCCGGGAAACTTAATTTTCAAGGTGACAGGGTAGGGGAAGCCTATAAACCCATATGAAAACCCAGCTAAGGATCTATTAAAGATACACGACCGAAGTCAACTTAGCGGATGACAAAGGGGGATCCAATTACGGATACAGGCTAATTTCAATTAAACAGATACGAGGGAAACCCTGACCCTGTACACCCCAAATAATCATACTTAAATAGAATAAATGTTTGAAAAGAAAATTTTCCCTGAGCGGGATATATATATATATAGGCACTCGTGATATATATATATATCACGAGTGCCAGGGATATGTAGACAAACTCGGTGTGATATTTGAATACCCGTCAGCTGAGCTACTCCACCCATGCTTCCATCCTTTCCCTCTAAGCCCCCTTATAATAAGGTAAGATAAAAATAATAAGTAGTTCGTTGCCTCCAATTTCTGGTTGAGGATCAATCAAAGGCGATTTATTTCGTAATAATGCCATTCAGTATACCATCGCTTCGTAAGCAGTTGTGCGCGCCTTACCAATGTGCTACAGAGCGAATGAACAATGGCGGTGAGTTGTGCGGCTGATGACCTCGTGGCCATTGTGGTAGGCAAGCTGTGTAATAAAAGTTTCGTTTTTTTAAATCTCAGAAATCTTGTATGCACTTTGTATTTAGATCGAAACTTTCGCCGCATAGATGGGCGTAGCGCAGACTTAAAACCAAGTCACCACACAAAGTATTGTGTGGTGGCCATAAATAGAGAACTCAATAATTACCGATTTCGACGCATTGCGATCTGAAAGTCTCAACCAAGTCAGAATAGTTGTTAATGCACCAACATGTATAGTGGTTGTCGGCCCTCCTCGCCCTTTTTACCGAGCCACTCTCGATCCGAGTTGATATTTCAGTAAGATTTTAAAAATGCTCATTTTTTGACCACCGCAACTTGAAAATTTTCCACATTTTAATCGTATGTCTTAACGATCAACATATTCACAGGGTGGTTCGCCTGTGGTAACCCAAAGGGAACGAAATGATCCAACTTCTCCATCGTTCTAAGAGTTTAAGTTATACATGGTTTTATTTTCTTTTGTTCGCGACTCCTGGCCGAGCTTCTTAGGAAAGTACCTCCTCCCAGACAACTAGGCTGCGTTGATACTATGAACAGGAAAAAGGAGGCGATAAAAG